GGTAGGCCTGGATGTGGTGGGTATGGCTTATCCCACTTGTTGTACCATGAGCCTCTTCCTCTACCCCAGGTGGAGTAAGAACCACGGCCACCGTATGAGGGACCATTTCCCCTTCCTCCCACGTAGTGGCTTCCTTCACCACCACCCCTCTGGGTGCCGAATCCTCGTCCACCACGGCCACGACCCCTTCCTCGGCCACGCCCTCTTCCTTGACGCCCTCCCCCGGGGGCTGCAACAGCCGCGTAACTCCCCTCCTGAGCTACCGGTCTGTAGGGTTCATTGAGACCATAGTCTACCTGATCCCAGGAGATGGTCTCGGCGCCTCCTTCTTCGAAGGTTAGAAGGAGACCGTCTTTCCCAGGTATAGACCTTGAGATGGTGCGTTTTTGCCATCTCTTACCCGCTTGCAGATCCTTCCAGTAGTGACAATAATTTGCTTCGGCGAGGAAGCCGGCATGATCTATGGCGATCTTGCCGAACTTCTCATATGTCATCCCCTCTTCCTTGGTACGGGGATAAAGTTGTGTTCTTAGGGGGTCCGGGAGTGCTTGCGCAAAACTGTTCAAGATCTGGGCCGGCGTCAATCCGTGATCAGGGCATTGCAATAGTTCGTCCATGGTTGCTTTCAATGCAGAGGTACTCTTCCATTTCCTATAAGGAAGGTTGAGGATCAACATTTCTGTTCGTCTTGCCAAGTTCTTATCCTCAAATCTTTCTCGGATCAACTTAAGAAAATCTTCGATTCGCGTTTGTTGCGAATACTCTACCATGGAGTTGCATCCCGCTTCCTTTTGCAGCGAGATGGCAAAGCTCATGGCGTCGCCTCCCATACATGATGTTGCCATCAATACCCTGTCCCAATAGGGAATACGCTGTCCGTATACATACGTTTCAATTGCTGCCGCCCAATGCAACACACTCTCTTCTTTCTTTCCGTTGTAGGTCCAGGGCAGTTTGAGCTTCATTTTGTTAACCTGCCCGGCCTCCTGAGAAGGTTTGCCTGTTGGATCCCCAATCTTTTTCTTCCCTTTTTTGTCATCATTGTCATCGCCGTCTCCATCTCCTCCGCCGCCTCCAGCTCCTTTCATGATCTTTTCTTTAACTTCGGGGGTGAATGTCTTACTAACGTGGTCATCCAAAACATGGATGTAAGGTTGCACATGTTGGTCAACGTCCTTGGCTGACTTTTCCACAAAGTTATTCCAGACGTTTTCGAATTCAACTCGATGCGCTTCAACCCTTGTAGAGTCTGATGAATTAACTTCATATCTTGCCTTGTGTTGAGGACTGTCTCCCTAAGGAGAGCAAGTTGTGCTTCGGTTTCAGAGGGATTTTCCTTTTGCGCTTGTAAGGCTTTCTGCAATTTCTCCCCCTCGGCCTGCAGCCTTTTCTTTTCCTCTAGTTCTTGCCGTCTGGAAGCTAACAATCTGGCATTTAGTTCAGCCCTTTTTTCTGTCATCAGCAGGTTACGTTCAGTGGTGTCTGTCACAGTGGCCAACTTGGCGACGAAAGCATCTCGCTCTGCGTCAGTCTCTTTCAACGGCTCGCTGGAGTAGTCTCATGAAGGTTTAGGTCCTTGCGTGAGTACCTTCTCAGGCAATCTAGTGCCACGTGGATTCTCAAGTCTCGGGCTCGCTATTGACATCGAGCACGAATTCAGCCATGGCTTACTGTCCACGTATACGCCCGCCGCCCGCTTGAGACGTGGACAGTAACGTATGGCCCGGAATGGGACCGGCTTCACGTATCAAGTCCGTTATCCTAACCTTACCTTCTGCTTCATCGAAGCCGTTCTTCGACTTTCGCGTGCTGCTTTCAGGCATGACCTATCACTAGGCATACCACGCACGTGTCGCTCACACCCTTGGCCTGGGCCAGCTTGAGATGGTGTGGCAGAGTTGGAGTCGCCCTGCAATTGAGATCTGCGACCTGTAATTCCTTGCATCATAGGAGTGGCTGCATCTTGAAATCCGTATTGCCAAGGCTCTGCAGCGTGCTTCGCACCTGCTGATTAAGCTCCAGTTTAATCTCTTCAGATAAGAATTGAGTCACCAACCTTTTGATCTCGACAGCATCTGCTCTGGATCCTGCTGTTATGATAATAACAAAATCATCAGCATATCTTACATAGAAGAGTCTTTTGAAACCCGGATTCATTGGATCTGATGAAGTCTTCCATAGGGTTCGCCGGTTGCCGGTTTTTGTCGTTTGGGGAAATAACTCCACGGTGGTACCATACCAAGGAGAATTCAGAGTTCCCGTAGTAAGAATTGTCCTGTGCGGATCCTTAAGGGGATCAGCCTAAAACCGTTCTGTTCCGACACTGAGTGAGGTCTCGAACAATCAACACGATCTAGATTCCAATCTAATACTCGATTGGTCGGACCGGACCGTGTTCGTATCTCAGTCAAGGAACACGTGAAAGCCTGCAACATCACTCTCCRCTGACTGTCTAGATGAATCCAAGATCGGATAMGAGACTGACTGGGCCCTTTGTAAATAAGAAAGAGGCGCAAAGCTGACGGATCTCCAAGAAACAAACAAATGCGAAGGCAAGGCCTTCGTTCGGCAGAACATAAATTTTACGTTTGGCGAGTCTCTTCGAGTGTCTCCAACCACTCTGGCCAGACCTTTCTGCTCGAGCGAGCCTCTACGAAGAAATCTGGCTCGAAAGAGCGAGCTGAGAGTCTGGATTTCGGAACCTGGTTACCAGCCATTGCGTGGTTTCTTTAGGTCTTTGCCTGCTATAGCAAAGACCTTAGCCCGTGAGCGAAGGTAGTACCGGCTACCCCAGTCCAATGGTTTAACGGGAAGGCGGGTCGTTGTGCTGCTTTCAGGTATGTCTTGGCGACGACGCCTTTCCAACACTTCTCCTTCTTCTTGTTCTTCTTCTTTTTCTTCTATACTTTTCAACTCTTCTTCTAGCTCCCTGTTCATTTTCTCTTTCAATTTCTTTCTTGCTTCTTCTTCTTTCTGTTTCTTCTTTGCTTCTCTCTCCCTTTTCTTTTCTGCCATCTTGTGGTCGATCTCTGCTTGCTCCGCAGGTGTCGGGCCAGGCTTCACTGCTCCGGACCGCATCAGCATGCGGGAAGTGCACACACACCCGAACCCCAGTGGGAACATAAGCAACAGCGGCCCCAACAAGACAGAAAGGGCCAACAGACCCTGAATGGGATAGTCATCCATGATGACTGCCGGCACAGGAGACCCTCCGCCGGATCACCAAGATACTATCCCACTTGCAGACTTAGTTTTGACTTGCGGTAATGGAGTACTATACTGCCTCTTTCCCTTTTCGACTGTAGAAGGTGCTGCGTGCTATCAACAATAGCTCAACCTGAAATGAACTTGGATATGTCTCTTTTTTTTTTGTTTTGATTTGCTGTCTGGCCTCCTGGATCGAACTTTTGGCAATGTGTTTCTGTTGTCTTGCTTCCTCTCTTGATATAGACTCTTCTTTTTTTTGTACTAACTTGGCTGGGTGTCTGATGCAGGTATGGAGTACAGCGCAGATTTGTTCTTTCTTTCGGGCTTAATAGGCCCTGTAGATACTCAATATCGTCCTTATACTGCCTGGTTCAGGCTATCTGATGTGGCACATCGCCGCTCCCCACATCGATCCTTGGTTCTTGATGACGGTACCCAGCCTACCTATCAAGAGGGATAGGAGAGAGACCTACTCCTATTCACAGAATATTGGACCACCTACTCTAGTGATGGAAAGGTCCATTTGTAGATGCTTGTCTGTTGAAAAAGCATTCGCGTGTGGCTTGCCAGAGTTGGAAAATTTGGTCACGTAGATCTTGTATTTTGCCTAAATTTGTCGGTTACTATGCACAAGTGTGACCAGTTCCTGACACATCACACTTGGGTCATCGCACTCTGACGGCTCAGACCTAACAACTATGACAATTCAGATCCAGACTTCGACTCCTGACCAGATCAGCAGCAGTCACCTTCAGAGGGTCAGAGATTGAGAAGGTAGGGGACACACACATGCATGCAGGTTCAGGGAAAAGGAGGTGCTTCTCTCTTCTTGAAGATACCGCCGATGGTGCTCCACGACGCTCCGCACGCTCCAGGTAAGTAACTTCGTCACTTCTTCTTCGACCTGCTTCCCCCCACTACAAAACTCTTCTTCTCTTCCTCCCTCCTTCACTATACCTCCATCACCACTTCTTCTCGCCGACCTTGATCAGACCAGCGCTATGAGTTTAGCGAGCATCTGCTCCGATACCAAAAATTGCATGGGTCCTGGGGACCATCTCACGTAGATGTGTATATGCCATGCATCATCTTCACACGCAGTGATCAACAGTCTCAACCATAGACAAAGGTAGAGAAGAAGAGGACCGAGTTTCACAGCTTATATTATCAGAAATATGATTACAAAGTGTTTCAAAGTTCCCCTGAGTCCAGCGCTCATCAGCGCAACACAAATCTCTGTTCAACTCRTCAATATGACTTCCAAGGTATCAGCGCTACCCCTGCAGATTGTCTCCCAGTCATCAATCTGGTCACAACTCATCGGCGCCACCTCTGCAGTTCACAACAACTCAGGTAAGTGTCTCCCATAGCCAAASCTCSAATGAACACTCTATATCTMAGTCCCTTCCTCTTACGATGCATTCACATTCTCTACTCATGAGGATYTACTCTGAATACTACTCATAGCTAAGTACTAACCCTTCTACTCTACTTACTAACTCGCTGGGCAGCTATGGCTGCATCCCTTCCAGCGCACAGTCTTYTCCTTCCCTCTTAGCGCATCTTCCTTCCTCCRGCGCTACTCCTACTGACCAACGCACAAGTGCACCAGCACTTCCACGTATTCAAGCCAGTGGAGATCTGGCGAGGAATGAGGCTGGCAGCTTCTTTTATAATGCTGGCCACTCCTCGCTGGGTCTGCATGGGCTCAACTCAGCCTCTTTCCTTGTCCCAGACCCTGCATTGCATGTGTCCCAGTATAGCCCCAATGAGGTTCAATTGCTGCTGAGGCA